CGAGTCTTAACCACTCATTCATCTCAGCCTCAACCAGTTATTTCATTAGTTAAGAAACACTGGACGTAGAGAACTCATCACTGTGATCCAGATTTCACTTTGAGATTCTGTTAATCACTTTTAAATCACCGGCTCCACGTGATATTCGAGACCTTTTGACCAGAGATCCAGATTTTAAACTCGCAGCTCAGGAGAGGACCTAAATCTACTCCAGGGTCTAATTTGAATTTTTACACTAATCTGATCTAACGTTAAAAACCAAAATATTCATTTTTGTTTTGTTTTCACAGAGGAAACATCCCCCCCCGTTACTTTTCAACTCTTTTCATCTCTTCACCTCCGCTGCTCACACAATCCATCACCAACTTACTCCTCCGACTCCTTCTCCCTCCTCCTCTAAATTTAAATTTCCCTGATTCTCTCTCTCTCGTCGCTATCTCCTCCATCTCCCCCCCCCCCGCTCTCTTCTTCCCACTTATTTAATTTGGTATCACATTAAGGCTTCGGAGGAGAAAGTTAATTACGCAGCATTTTGAATTATGAATTGTGAGACTGTGTAGTAACATATTGCCTCATTTCTCACCACAGACTGAAGCCTCGGTGAGATGTTTCACAGCTACTTTGCAGGTATCACAGACGCCATGTTTAGTGGGATCTTTCATACGAGTTCAATCTTTTTTTTATTAACTTGATATGATCTATTTTTAAAGCCCACACGACAGATGAAAGGCTTTGCCCTAAATACAATATTATATAAAATCAATAACGTGAAGAAAATTACTTTTTGAAAGTCCTGTCAGTATTCCTCACTTAGCATTAAGCTATAATGTGGCGGTGGTTATATGAGGAATAAGACAAAGGTATGACCCGCTCTTTATTTTTACACGCCTGTAACTCGACTCACCTCTTAAAGTGAAAAACAAATGAATCACTGAAATATTCGGTAACAAAACAACATTAATTAGAGACGTCTCATAAAATTAATAATCTGTTCGACACACTGACTGGACGAAGCTGGAGGACGTGACAACTCCGGAAAAGAGAAGCCAAATCATTTAGATCGCCCCCTGGTGGCTGGCTACGCTATATGTCAGAAGCCCTGCCTGCTCCGTGTTAGCAAAAGGGACATAAAAAGTTAAAATACACGTTAATGTATTTTTCTAAAGAGGATTTCTGTCATTAAAGTCAGTTCTTATCCAACGTATCCGGTGTTTGTTCTAAAGCTATTTGATGATATAATATGTGAAACGTCAGGATGACACCACGGTCGGGTCGGCCTCCATGGGAGCCCGCAGGGCAACGATGTGTTGTTGGGCCCCTGTTCACCTCCACCACACATGGCAGTGTCATTATTCATGCAGCTGAATTAATTATCATATAAGTCTGTTGATAAAAGCATCATTTGGTTAGTGATTCATTGTTAACATAAGTCATTTCTAAGCAAACGTGCACATCTTTGAGCTAAAATCTTCCAGATAGAGCGTTCCGTCTCATTCCGTTTTTTAACGTTGAGCATAAAACAAAACGTAAACAAACTTATCTGAAAACCTGGGAATATGGGAATCCACTGGAAGCAAGAGAAGAAAGTGTTGAGGTGAACCAACGATTTCTGTTCAGGGTCCAGTTGAATGTTTCTTGAACTAAGACGATAATTAAACGTTTAATGACAACACGGAGCACGATGACGCTCCATTTGTACACATCGTTATAAAGACGTGTGTCACTTAAATATAAGTACGGATTTGTGGTGAGATCAGACTCCCACATTTACACTCTACTTACTGTTCCTGACCCCCCCCGCCTCCCCTACCCCTCGCTCGCCCCCGTCTCCAGTCATTTACATTTATATTGAATTAGAAGTCGTGGTGGAGAGCGAGTGGAGGCAGCCGAGACTGATCATAATGGGAGATTATGGGCCGACTGCACCACCATTATGTCGTGTAATTACAAAGAGAGAGAGAGAGAGAGAGAGGGGAGGATGGATGGGGCCCCTGGATGCCCAGATGTCAGGATCTATTTCATTTAGGGGAATAATGTCTCTCTGTTTTTCGAGACCATCTTTTTTTTGCCTGTAAATATTATGGAAAGCTGGACCCGTTGTTATGGGTCACGATTTACGGCATTAAGAAGAATGTGTGGGAACTCACCACCGCATCTTCATCCCGCCTCCAACTGATGCTGTACAAATACATGTATATATATATATATACAGTATATATAAATATATATAGTTTTACCAATTGTCTGTGGTATATAAGAAAACCAATTTAACAGATTCATGACCCACGTCCCAGCATCTCATTCCCGTTCTCAGGGAAACATGTCGTCCTGGATTGAGACAATAGTCGCTAAATAAAGACTTGTCTCCATTTATGAAGCTAACGTATCAGATATATACGGGCGCTGCCATCTTGAGCTTTTGACGTCTGCGCAGCATAGTGATCGTGGAGGATCCAGGTCCTGCCAATCAGCTGTAATCCTGTGCACATTTTCTATCTTCAGGTTTTTGTTCATTTGTTTCCACGCGTTCTATTGTGACAACAGCACGTCGTGTTTCAGGTTCAGATTAAATGAACAATGTGCTTGAGAAGAAGACGGGTTTTTCTGGTGGAGAATGTGATTTAAGTTCCGTCCTGAAAAAGTGTTTGAATGTTTCCCGTCTTATTTAAAACTTTTAAACCAGGTGGAGACGACACGCAGCTCAAAGGCTCCGAGGAGACATTCATGGCGTCCTATCAAGGTCAAAGACAGTTGATTGAAACTTAATTTAAATCAACTAATTTATTTCTAGATTCGATGCTGAATCTACTGTGACTCAAATATGAATTTAAATAAACTAGACAGGAATAAAAAAATCTTGCTCTGCTGACTGAGCTCATTACATTACATCCTGACCCAAAATCACTCTCGACAGGAAATACATGAAATTAAAGAGAGGATTGATTTTTCTCTTGTTTGTGATGGACTGTTTGTTCAACAACTGTATCTGAGTGGATTTGTGTTTAAGCAGTGAATTATAAGGCTGTAATTTACCATAACAAACAATCCCAGGTACTTTTTATTTCTGTGTTTCTATGCAACCTCCCTAGATTCATTACTTTGTCCCTTTTGGCTTTGATGAACGTATAATGTCAATATTAGCTGTAAAGGAAAATCATATTGTGGGCTGACAAAAACAATTACATCTACCAGCGTATGAGAGCGACTCACAGGTTAACGTCTTCGATTAGATGCAGAGTAGAAAAAAAAAAACAAGCAGCAAGACCTCAACTACTTCCAAGAGGGAGAAAAGTCTGGAGAGGCACAAAACAGACAGAACAAATAATAAAGATAAAACAAATAGTGGAAAGAGGAACTTTATTTTTCAGCTCGTGGGTTTGTCAGGGTCGTCCACCGGTAAAGAAATATCTTGAAAACGAAGCTCGAGGCCGAACAGCAGGGCCGTGCACAGACATTTTTGGGGGGGTCAGGTGCTCAAGTAGAAAAAAGGGGTGCCCCTCTTCATCATTATTTACAAAAAATAAAGTAACATGCTCGATTCGACCCCTCGTTCACGAGTGAGGGGGAGGAAGAAGGGTGAATGGAAGGGGAAGGATTGGTGGAGGCATCTGAGACGGAGCGTGATGGGTTGACCGGGTGTATGTCAGATTGACAGGTGACTGGGGGTGTGGTTGTGAAGAGGCCCCGCTCCGCAACCAAAGATAACTTAGACTTCACATTGACTCTACGCTTGTTTGCTTATTGTCCGACAAGCAGAGCAAGCAGCTGCTCCTGTAGGTGGAGGTCAGAGGTCAGAGGTCAGAAGCAGCAGCCGTTCAATCTTTTACGTGGTTGAACATCTTTTAATGATTTTTGGTTCCCTGCCGTTTATGCTCTAATAGAAACAACCATTTAAACTTTGGGATCGATGAGGGGGATAACAACAGTCATTAAGGCCGATAGCTCTGAGGTGTGAGCCTGAACTGTGAGCGTCATTATCATTAACAAGCAATAACATTCTCGTTCTGGGAGACGCTGATAATCTTTGAGCAGTAAATATCTTCAAGTGTCACTTTGGAGGTGAGCAGTGACTGAGCCATTGTCAGACTGGACGATGGCGCCACCTAGTGTTTGCTTCACCATACTGGCATTTTCATGTCTGATGTCCCATGTGACAGATCTTTAATAAATATCCTGATAATAGGCTGATTTGGTTGTGAGCTGTGTTTGCTTTTGTTGCATGTCTATATTCTTGTATTAAACATATTCACGTGTTATATTAAACAAGCAACATTCAGTTTCTTTTATATATTGTTTTTTAAGGCAGACGACCTACTTCTTTGTTATGTTTTGTATTTCTATATTTTAATGATAAGCTCTCAAAACCTGTGCCCATAGACTTAATTCAATACAAATGTTATTTTATAAAGAAAGTAAATAGATGCACACGAACTTTTCCACAAATATATATATAAAACAGCGCAGTATCAGACATGTTTTTACAAGTACAAATACATTAAACATTGACGCAGTTTTCCATTATGTTACAAACGGATTCTTCATCCTGGGAGAAGTACCTCACATGTGACTGTCTGAGGTTTTCTTCCTGTTGATAAAGTTTTTCTTGGTAGTTTTACTCTTGTTAGTAAAGAACAGAGAATAAACATCTAGATAAACCCAATGAGACAAATTGTGAACATGGGTTAAACAAATGAAATTGCATTGATTGATTGATAAATATGCACATGGCAACTGACTATAATCATGTGTGAAATAATCACAAATTAAAAACATGGATTATAGCTGCAGTGGCCACAGAATAACACAGCAGAGGAGTGTGTGCACACATTCAGATTAAACCATATATAACCATAAGATTTTATTATTTTTCCTGTGAAGCACTTTGTCACTTGGTTTAGATCCGTGCTGTACGAATGCAGTTATTATTATTCTTATTATTATTATTATAAGAGGCGCTAAAACGTTGCGGCTTTTATTTTGAAGGCTTCACATACCGGAAGTAAACATTGATGACGCACATACTGCTTCCTGTTTGCTTCCTGTTTGCGGCTTCCTCAGTTTGCGTGTTTGTCCCACAGACTGTTTATAAAGTTTGTTCTTTCATTCCTCGTTTCACGACGCGAGTCCGGCTCCGGTCATGAGCGCCATCATTCCCCGGATCGAGCAGCTGTCCGCCCGGGTGGTCCGGGTGTTGGGCTGCAACCCGGGACCGATGACTCTGCAGGGGACCAACACTTACCTGGTCGGCACCGGGCAGAGGTGACAGCGGGTTAGCACGAGCAAACATTAGCTTAGTAACTTCCATAACTGTCTCACAATCTGCCCAAAGTACATTAAGACTCCACACGATCATGGGGAAACCTGACCTCTGCTTTTAGCCCATTGAGCTACTGTCCTGTCAGCGGAGGGGAAAGTACTTCACACCAAACCTCACTCAAAATGTTCTCAATTCTGCGTTTTCTTGCTTGTAAACGTAAATATTTAGTGTAAAGATCAAGAGTGAAAATGTAAAATAACGCCTCAGAACCCATTTATTCTTTCGGCTCACACTTAGCATCAGAAATAGTTATAATTCAGTCGGGACCTCACGCCAAACTCCACTCTGACCTTTATGCATTCTGCGTTTTTTTTTTTTTTTTTTTTTAAATCCTTAGAGAGAATAGATGTAAATAAGTGTTTAACTACCAAAATTAAAACGTATTAAAAGGAAATTGAACTGAAAATGATTTTTTTTAAAAGTTCATTTAAAAGCATTTACGAACAAGTAAATCAGGCTTAATATTAATGGAATAACTGAAAAATGAAATTCAATTTAAAGCTCGACAAACTTTCATGTGTGGTTTTGATTCCAGGCGTGTGCTGATAGACACCGGAGAATGTGCCGTGCCTGAATACATCAGCAGTCTGAAACAAGCTTTGACACAGTTCAACACCAGCATCCAGGAGATCATCATCACTCACTGGCACCACGACCACGTGGGAGGAGTGGAGGACATCTGCAGGGACATCACCGGTGAGGGCCGCAGCACATGCGGGGGCAGGTTAAATGACCCCAGCGCCTTTTAACCACTTTTAAAGATGGCTACTTTTCATCTCTGACCACCGTTTGTGTGGTTTCCCTCCTGCAGGTTCTGATGTGAGAGTCAGCAAACTGCCTCGCGCCACGCAGGTCAGGGAGTCCGCTGGAGAGAAGAGCTATACTTACCTCAGAGATGGAGATCTCGTCCAGACAGAGGGGGCTACGCTCAAGTTAGCTCACTTTATATATGTTGAATATATGGACGGCATTTTAATCTAACAGGACTTCACAAGAAATGAAACCAGAAACCAAAAGACATAAAACACACACACTGTTAATGCTAATGTCTGAATCATCTGTTATTTAAGCATTGAGCCATGTGTCATCTCTCTATTTCCCAGAGTGCTGTTCACCCCGGGTCACAGCGATGACCACATGGCCCTGCTGCTGGAGGAGGAGCAGGCGCTCTTCTCTGGAGACTGCATCCTGGGCGAGGGCACGGCTGTGTTCGAGGACCTGTACGACTACATGAGATCCCTGAAGGTTCTGCTGGACTCGCAGGCCGATCTCATCTACCCTGGTGAGTGAGCATGTGCTGGTACGTGTGGAACACACTATGATGTGACAGTCGTCACATCTGGGAGCTGCCCTTCAATGCAGGTGTGTAAATGAATGTCACTTACATCTCACAGACATTTCAGTATCTGCGTTTAGGTTTGCTCGTATCAAAACTAAAATTATTTTATTTGACAGAATAAACAATGCAGAAAAGATTTTTCACCTCTGTGCCGCTCATTCAGCTTTTTCTTCTCTTCTGATTTCGATCTTTTCACAATCATTCGTCATTGCTCCCCGTTGTTGTTTCAGTCAAACAAACAAAGCTTTGTTTCATAAACTGAAAACCATTTGAAAATGAAACGATTACACACAATTAACAACTTGAATTTACTTTTTAAATGGATCAGCGTCAGTCTGAAGCTGCTGTTGTCTGAGCAGGTCACGGCCCCCTGGTTCAGGACGCCGGCTCGAAGATCAGACACTACATCAGCCACCGGCAGCAGAGAGAGCAACAGATCCTGGCGGCCATTCAGGACGGAGCAGGAAAACCTTTCTCCTCCATGGAGCTCGTGAAGATCGTGTATGAGGTCAGGACAAAACCCTGCCTCACTCTGATGCTTTTTCCAGCCTGACCTAAAGGGCTGAGTGCTGCGAGCACTAAAGATACGATCAGCTGTACAGAGGTGGAGCGTTGTAAAACATCTGCTCTGAATAGGTTTGGTGGCATTCACACCAGATGGGAATGTGTTCAGGTCTCAGTGGAAGCAGATGCAATCAGCAAGTTTCTTTGAGTTTCTTGAGGACTTAATAAAACATCTGTGATATTCTTTGGTCAAAATACCAAAAAGCACCACGACACCCTCCTCAGCGCTCTGTCTCCTTTAAAATACAAAGTAAACTTGCTAAATTATAGTTGTGTTTCGATTAAAGCACCTGGAACATTTATCACCTGCCGACGTTTGTGTGTCTGTGTTATCAGCTTGGTCTTTCAAGCAAATTAGCCGACTGTTGTATGAAGAAGCTACAGCTACGACAAGCTGTTCCATTCCAGTCCACCAGGTGGCGATAACACAGAATAATGACTAACTAATAATGATACTGTACAAATAGAGCACTATAGAGCAACAGTAAAAAATGAAGGAGCATCTAATCTTGCTGCTGTTGATCGGGAGCTAAAGGAATAGAACTATGGAAACGACCTGAGATTACAAACCCTGCCACCGCTCACACAATCCTCTCTGAGCTGTGCTTTGTTTTCTCTGGATTCACAGTAAAACATGTTTCTAACAGTTTTTCACTGCTTCTCTTTAACAGGAAACACCTGAACACCTGCACCGAGCAGCTAATGTCAACTTGGTCCATCACTTAAAGAAACTGGAGAAAGAAGGCAAGATTTGCGTGGGTATGTCATTTTTCTTATCGTGAAAACTATCAAGGTGGGAACTGAAGAATTCTTTCTGCGTCAGTTTAAGGTCATTTTATTAGATTCGGTTAAAAATGAGTTTGATGGTTCAGTGACGTGGAAGAGGGAGAATGTTTCCTCTTTCATTCCCGCCCATTTCATTGAATATTAAAGTATGTAAATATGCTGGGATGTCAAATAAAATTACACTCACTCACTGTCAGCTCCATTTCAAATACCCTGATTATTGTATTTATGTTTTTACAGTTGAGTCCTCAGAGAACATGAAATGGAAAAGTAACCTGTGATTTTCACCAAGACACTGAAGAAAAAGACTCTACAGCCGTCTTCAGACATGTCCTGTGGGGGACCTCTGGAGAATTGGGTTTGGACGTTTTCCTTTCGCCCACGAACGACGCAGCGGGAGCTTCTCTGCACAGACGCATTCGAAACAGCAACAAATCAAACGAGAGGTGGAGCAGCAGACAGAGGCAGGACGTAACATGTTCATTCAGCTGCAGTGAGCACATAGTTTTTTAATTACAGCACATCGACACCGGCGTCGGCATTTTATCACCACAAGCTCTCCTGACATCTTTGTCTGTGTCCTCTACATGTGTGGCGTTGCTTTAACATGCAGAGATTTAACGTCCATCAACACGCTCACTATAAATCATAACTGTGCAGTAGGTCATTGAATGATTGGTGGTGATGTTGTTGATCTTCCCTTCACTCGGGCAGGATTATGAAATAAGGAAAAAGAGGGGGGGGGGATGAAAAATCGGTCTCAAAGACTTTCAACTCTGACTCATTGTAAACTTTGATTTTTGATAATTAACCTCTATGACCTCATTGTTAGAAGTGCCTAAATGTATTTTCAATGAGTCACTAGAGGGCAGTATCTGCTGTCATTTAACTTGAGAGGTAAAACTTTGAGCGTTGCAGTTTTTGTTCCTGCGAAATGACCCAAGAATTTTTAGGTTAAATTCTAATGTGAATTAATTTTACTGTGAATGTGTGTTGGAGAATTTAAAATAATGAATCATCATCATTGTGCGTCTGGTTATTTTTTACGACCACGAATGAGGATTATTGTGTATTTGTGATCATTCTGAGGCAGATAGTGATAATTATCTATCAAATATAACTGTTTTGTGACGGTTCCTCCAAACGTAGAATAGAAATGTGAACAAGTCAAAAACAATAAATAGAAACAGAAGATGATAATTATAAACTTTATTTCTATAGAACTTTTTAAAAATCTGAGTTTACAAAGTGCTTTGTTAGCAAGTAAATAAGAGAAATAACAACTAACTACTTTAAGGTCGGAAACAAGTTAGTGTTCAAATGAAATGAATAAATAAACAGGTTTGTCACATGAACACATAAAACTGAAATGGGTTTTAATAAGTGATTTTACAGGAAGTTACAAAACAAAGATAAGTTATGAGAATAAGTAAAAGTAAGTATTTTATTTATTTATGTATATATATATATATATATATATATATATAGTAGAAGGGAGGGGGGGTGTACAGTCAAACAGCCGGACCGTGGCGTCTCAGAGGGACCAGAGGAACATGGCGGCTCCGGCCCTGGACGCAGCCGCCTCCACCGCCGCTTCGTCCCGCTGATGACCCGAGTCACGCACCAGACAACACCGACACACGCTCCCCGGCACAGCCCGCACATGGCTCCTCAACTCCCGGGTAAGTTTGCCGACCGACCCTTCACTCGCATTCACAGAAATACTAAACATTTCTCCGGGTACCGGGACTTCACGGCGCGGGTTTCACCCTCAATGGCGCCGCGACTTCCCCCGTGACGACATGTCAACGCGCGGGTGAGTGTGCGGGGGGTTTAACCCGGGATACAATGCGGGGCGTGCGTTTATCCAGCAGGTTGTTTTAACTCTTGTGTTTCACCCGCTTCGGTGAAGTGTCGCACCGCTGACTCGCAGCCACCAGCGCCGGGGCTTCGTCGTGAGCCACCCGGGTGAACGCGCTCCTCTCCGCCGGTCGCAGCCGCCGGCCCGCCGCCCCTCTTTAATTCAAAGTGCGGGGCGACCATCACGCCGGGGCCGAGGTGTTCGACTTCCTGGTTAGAAAACACAAGCTGCGGGTTTCATCTGCGTGAGTCTGCGTTCACGCCACTTCCTGTCGCCAGGTGTGAAAACGAACTTCCAGGTGACGCGTTTAAACGCTCGCCGGGTTTTTTTTTTTTTTTACACGTGTTTGTGTTGATTTGAAGTTTGAAGTTTTTAAAGTTTTAACTTCCTCAAGAAGAGTCGAGCCTGGCCGGGTACTTCCTCTTTGGGTTTTTCAAAATAAAACATCGATTCCAGCGGTGCAGCGTGCTGTTAGCTGCCTCAACTCGGAGGCTGAAGACGGATTGCGTCACAACGACGCGACTAGACCACCCCATCGCTAAGTGACGAACAGATTTTTAAAAGACGTAAGGACATTGGCAAACGACGAGACGACGACTCTTCAGCTCGATCGCTGGGCGACGACGGTCCTCTGTAGATCGGACTAGTCTAATTTCAGTTCGGCGTTCTTCAGAGGATGCGGTCTGAATTGAGATCGAGCTTGTGCGTCACAGAGGTGCGACTTGGCTGTTCTGATTACGAAAGCTCCTTCAGATACAGTCGACAAATGTGTCCTTCCATCCCCGAGAAACAGTCAACGGGTGGATCCTTTCCGGGCCCAACTAATCCCAGAATTCAAGTGACAAACAACGAGACATGTGATGCTAACTGTACACATGTTTAAAAAAAACAAAGAAGGGGGATGGGCGTGTCCGACATCAGCCCTTTTGCTGGGTAGCGGCAATATGGGTGTGACGAGCCGGTGACATCGATTCCTCTCTAGACCCGACTGTCTCATTTCTTTTTCGGCGTTCTTCAGAGGACGCGGTCCTCTAATCAAAAGTAGGCTTGGATTTTAAAAAAACGGAGGACGTGACGGCTCCGAAAAAAAGTAAAGCTAAAGCGTCTCGAGCGCACCTTCCCTGCCTTGTTCCTGTTCACGCTGGTTTGATGGATTAACATAATCAGCTGGTTTTGGGGGGGATGGCCCGTTCTCTTTTAGACTGGGAGCCCCCAGAAAATGACCCACCCTGTTCCTACGCCCCTGTCCACTCCCAGTAATCACATTCAGAATTTTAGCGTATCAAACAGAATTCCTCCTCCCGGTGCATATTGACCACTCGGTGCTACATCGCTGTTTGTGTTTATTAGAATAGAAATCCAGCTCAGTTGCTGCAGGTTCAAGAATGTATCTTTGCCTGCTGCTGTGTTGGTTGGTGTGTGTTTGCCGATGTGCTGGTATGTTACCATAGAGAACCTGGGAGTTTGCCTACGTGACAGGTGCCATCGGACTCCTCTGGATGTGTTATCTTTTGAGGTCTGGACTTTTTTTTTTTTTTTTTTTTTTTGGCTCTTTCGAGCTGATTTGCTCTCTGCTTCTCCCCGAAGTGTTCTTTGAAAAGCATTGTAATATGTGCTGCAGGTTGCCAGGTCTCTGTGTGTATCCCCCTTCTCAGTGAGCTGATTTCTGTAACTTTTTGTTTTCTTAAATAGTTGAGAGGGTCCAGAGAAGTGTAACAAAAATTGCTCATGCTTGTTTTCTATGTTCGTGGATCAACCCCGGATCTGTTTCTATTTTGGTTTTGTTACTGCTTTATTATGATTTGGTAAACTCGGCTTTAATGTAGCAGGGTGGTAAGTTGTCGACTTAAATAAATGTCAGAACGCTTCAATGCATTTTCAGTGCCAAAAGTACCTTAAAGTGCTGCAGCAAGAGTGCAGGAATGTACTTAAGACCAAGATCTTAACATGAGATTGGCAGCTTGCCCAGAGTGGGATCCTTAGTCGCTTGAATTCACTAAACCACGTGAGGGCTCAGATAAAGTCCTGACCAATGACAGCAGCAGGAGCAGCAGGAGAAGGAGGAAGGGCAGAGGCTTGACTGTGCACTTCTCTGCAGCAGGTTTTCCACCAGGTCTTATCCTCTGCAACCAAATCCATGCTAAAGAAAAAGTGGTATGCTCATTTTAAACCAGGGCTGGGGAACCTTTTATTTCTATCAACGGCTATTTCTAATTTTTATAACATCCAGCATGGGCTGCACTAAATAATTTAACACAAAAATCCCTCTCCCTAATGCAGCAATGCTGCAATTGCTTCTATTTTACTTGGCAGTGATGATGATGATGATGATGATGATGTTAGGTCCAGACAGCCAGGTCCCCCCCCTGTTTTAAACCATCATTATAATATTCTGTGTTCTTTTGCAGATTGAAAATAACTTTTGTCTGAATGTTTCATTTGACTCTTGGTATGCAGTTAAACAAGTACAACCTAACTAGGTGGTATGAATGTAAACATTCTCTGTAGTAATGAAGTTGGGCAGCATTGTCATCATCCAGCCTTTCAGTGAAGCCAAACAAACCCGGCGGAGATTTCTTAGGAAGCTCAGACTACAGATTCTCCAGAACATGTTTCAAAGTGTTCAACATTTCTGTTTCTAGACGCACACCGTTCGACATTTGGTTCTACTGAGATGTTTTCCAGTGAGTGTGTGAGTTTGTTGCTCTACTCAACTGTGTTTGTTTATGTCTGTCTGGCTCTTCTCACTTCCACCAACTTATCTCACACACACACACACACACACACACACACACACACACACACACACACACAGCCACCTGGCTTTCTGTCACGCAGCAGAGACAGTCGTCTTCCAGGTCTGATCCTCCTGAGACCAAGTGCTCTAATTAACCAGCGCCACACACACACTCTTAAAACCTGCTGCAATTCAAAACCCCACAATTACTGTAATAATTCCTGTTCTAGAAAGACTGTTATAATGAATGTGTAAGTATTGAATATATATGTTTGTGTATACAGTATATAATAGTATATGCACAAGCACAATCTCTAGACTACTCGTAGCAGTAACGAGCTCTGGTGTGTGCAGGTGACAAATTAAAGGGAAATCCTGATATGTAAGTGCAGTGACAGCATCCAGATGCTTCCACACATTATGATCTGCACTGTAGAGTACAACTAAACTACAGCTAATGTCCCATCATGCCTTGTGGCATAAAAATGCTGAGCAGGCCCGGCCAATTGGCAAGAGGAAATCACGCTCAGCTGGTCGCTGTTTTAGGATCAGAGAGTGAAGTGAAGTCAACATTTAGATTCATGGGAAATCTCACCTGATTGAGTTTCTCTTGTTAAATTCAGACTATCTCTGCTTTTTCTGCGGACAATGTCCAAACAGGAAGGCCTTTTTTTTTTTTTTTTTTAGCATTTGATTATCTCTTGTCTTAAATGAGGCCAAACTATTAAAGCATGCTGAAAAAATAAACAAGCGAACGCATGCACAGTCAGCAGGACCTTCCTGTGAGCAAACCTTAATGAAAGCTGTGCAGGGTCGAAGCACCAGACCCGGGAGCCAAGTGTAGCAGGTTGCATAACAAGCGCTAATTTGGTTAGCTGGAGCTGAAGGTGGCTGTAATTCTCCTGCACTGTGACAGCACAGCTGAGTTAGAGGGAGGAAAAGTCCACGGGCCTCCAGCTGGATAATACAAGCTAATAGCATAACAGGCTTTTGCAGAACAAACGTAGGCCGTGGCCAGAGCTATAATCGTGGTGTTCTTCACCACTTTTTTTGGAGGTGGGACGTTGTTGCTAGGAAAACAGCGAGGAGGTTAAACCAGTCCAAGAAGCACTGAAGTGGTTATTGACGCCAAAATTCGTGACTGTGTTTAAATTTAATAGTGTGGTTAAACGACATGTTTAACACTTCCCCTGATTCCCACTTTCGCACATCTGAAGGAAGAGAAGTGTGTATTTCATCTTCAGTTATGACATTTGAAAACAGAAAATAAGATCCCCCCCCCCCCACAGCTTGGTTCGTTGTGTTTTTATTCGCCATCACACATCTGTGGCTGTCGGCCGCGTGCTGTGAGGAGTCTGAGGACGGTTGTAATAATAAAAGCAGAGTTTGGAGACTTAGAAATCAACGACCTGAGTGTGAACATCTTGCGGCTGAGCTTTTGGTTTGTTAAATTATTAGAGCGCGACCGATCTGAGCCTCTCGCTGACAGTATTGGTGTTTATGTTTGCAGATATGCTCAGACTTGAAAACGTTTAGTTTACAATGATCAGCTCAGCTCTCGTGTTGACAGGGTCTTTGTTAAGAATTGTCCTCTTGCAGTAGTTAACACAACAACCTTTGTTTTTTCTTGATAAACCCTCCACCGTGGATTTTAACCACTTCTTACCGTCTGTGATGACTCACAGCGCAGGGAAGAAGAATGAGTCTTTCCTGGGTTTTTATTGATGAAGCTCGGACATGTCACCACCCGACGCAACTTTCAAGTGCACAAACTGAGCCTTTCTGACGCTGTGTGCAGGAACATTTGTACTTGCATGTGTGCTTGTGCAATTCACAAAGCAGTTGGGTAGAGATTAGCTGTCCATCCCTCCTACACACACACACACACACACACACACACTCACACACACACACACACTCTCACACACCGTGACGTGCACACATGCTGACACATGCACACATTTGCAGCTCTCAGCGGTGGCAGGTGCATGTTGAAGTGCTTGTATGGTTTTGAGTCGGCCGTATCCAACTGGCTACACACACACACACACACACACACACCAGAGGAAAGAGCAAGCAGATGTTTGGGCTTCTGTCCAAAAAACTTGGTTCTTCTTTTTAATACTTTTCTTTTCTCACACGCACACATTTGTACATCTATCTAGTGAGTACACTCATTGGCATAATGCATTCCCCAGCCCTTTACCCTAAACTTAACCATCACAACCAAATACTTAATTCTAACCCTAACCCTCAAACAGCCCATTGAAAATGAGAAAGTCTGACATTCTCTGCACTAAAGCCTCAACAAGATTGAGGAATCTGGGATCTGTCCGCTTGTAGTACCTCGTAAATTTGTACAACATAATTCAATTTTCTTAATCTTAATTCTTGAGTTTAAGCTAATTAAAACCCAGGAGTAGTGATAAATAGATTAATTGAAAACATGTTTTCATGTCGATGAGCAGAAAGAAGAGGAGCGAGAGAATGTGGTTCACTGGAAAACATGAGATGTGTGATATTTCCTGAAAAGATGAGTTTTCACTAGGTTACATAAGTGAAAGTGGGACGGCGCTCAGCGAGCAGGTAGAGCCTTTTAGTGTTTGTGCTCAAGGGCTCAGCAGCATGACATGTGATCTGCTGAAAAATAAAATAAAACATTTTAAATGCTTCTTAAAGTAGGTTTCTCTGACAGCTCAGCTGTTCAAATAGAGTTTGTTTCGTAAAATGGGATGTTTGAACGTGAACCGCGGGGTGAGAACCCGATGAACCCGGACCAGCACCATACGGGCCCAGGTCAAACCTCACGGTGTGAAGGAGGCTTCAAAACACTCCGACTCTTCCCCTCAGGCAGGGTCAGTGTCTGGGAAAAGCAGCAGGTTTTCTTGTTATTGTGGGCGAGAGTGAGACGTCCAGCGCAACCAGTGGGTTAGGTTTGAGGTGAAAGTCACACAAATTGTTTTACACTGTAAAAACTCAACGGCGCATTTATCAAACACAAACTCCCATACATCCGATCCTGGGTGTGTCCCCCGAGCTGTCCGTGATGACAGAGGGATTCCTGTGGTGCAGCGAGGTGACGCGTCTCACTCCATTGTGCCTCAGATTTGGAAACTGAATATGACTGAGTAGTCCTGGGAAGTACTGCGAGAGCAGTTCAAGTAAATAACCGGGGTTACATCCCTGGGTAATCTTTTTCAGACTGGCATTTGTTTACAGCAGCGCTACAGAGGAACTTCTCAGCCGTGAAGTTAGCGTGTAAATAAGCAGTAATATTTATTTTACTCATGTTTTTAATCAAAACTCAAAACGGGAACATGTCAAAATGTATAGAAGCTTGATTTTTCACCAGCGGGGGATTTTAACATTTCAATCATTGCTCTTGTTTTATGTGTTTTGCAGACGGTACGGATTGAAGTTCAAAATGTAACACTTTGTGGATTTTTACCCAGGATGCTTTGCATATGAGGTAAGTGAGCTCATTAAATGATGCCAAAATATTTGTATGTTTTTCTGGTCTTAGTTTTCTTTTTTCCCTTTGACCTCAAATCTAGTGAATGGGTGTATATAATAATGTCTGTGTTGAGTTTACGTTGATATAAATATGAACGCACACAACGTTATCTTCAGTATGTAAAACCAGAGGGACGCAGTCGCTCTAAAGGAAAAACATCAGGATTAGAAAACGAAGAGGAGAAGCAGAAGGTTCCAGGTTCAAAACAAAGACTGAGTGTTTATACACTGAGGCGGCAAACCTAGTACAACAGGGACGTCCTGACACAACAACATGGGAAGTGAAAGTGCGTGTGCGTGCGTGCGTGTGAGAAACACATCTGCTTCCACCAGCACTTAGAGCTTTTGTCATTTTAAAAATGACCTCTCTCTCTCTCTTTCTCTCTCGGTTGTGTTTACTGCCATCTCACTTGGAGTGAGGCTTATTATCAAAGCAGCGACGAGGCTTATTATGTAAAAACCGAATGCACAGTATCAGTCTTTGTGTTTCTCTGTCCCTTGTTGGCCTTCACTGTTTCTGACAAGCATCCGTTTGCTTTTATTTTGAAGGTTTGCGGACATAGGGAGAGTTCTAAAACTGTAGTTTCGTCATGATTGTCGTGCGTAAATAATTTTTTTGTATTCTTACAAATGTAGCATTGAGAAATTGGACAAATTGAGGAGTAAATGGGGACTCACACTGCTAATGCTAATGTGGTGACGTGCTTATCATCGCTCATAGATTGTAAATAAAGATGGACGACGCCTCTACCCGCTCCAACTATCCAGAAATGAATTAATAACATCCAGGATATGAACTCCGCCATCTTGCATGAGTCAGAGCCAGAGTCTGAGCGCCAGAGGATGGTGGGTGGAGCCTCAGTAGTGAGGTCCTGCCGATACATGCGCTCGACCAATCGTTACTCAGTGTCAGCTGTCAGTCATGTGATTTCATCCCATTTCCATATCGTGAAAATAAAAGTTCACCATCCTCGAATTTGGCAAACTTATCATGAAACATGAACCTCAGTGTGATACGAACGACCTAAAATAATCATCGCACTCTGACTTTTTTTGTTTTGTCCATGTCCCATGTGCTGACATGGAGGAGGTGGGACTTATTCATAAGACTGCTTCATGTTTTTGTTTTTTTTACTTCCAGTATTTATTTATTTATTTTTTACAAATATCAGAGTATTGTCATCACTGTCTGTGTAAAAATGTCGTTGAATAGTAATCAGCTCTGCCACGACTTCTAACGTCAGTTCAAAATACAAGATCAACAGGTCATGTAAATCATTGTGGCTGTGACACATGGAGGTTTTTTTCTGCCCATCGGCGAACAGGAGGGAGGAGTGTGTGTGTGTGTGTGTGTGTGTTGTGGGAGGAGACAGGGAGGAGTGTGTGTGTGAGTGTGAGTGTACATGATGGGGGAGGGGACAGGGAGAGTGGGAGAGAGAGAGAGAGGATTTGTGGCATGTAGTTTGTCAGCTGTCATTAGGCACAGATGACACACACACACACACACCGAGCTATCTGACAGAGGAAAGAGGGGAAATACAGAACGAGTGTGTATTCATGGTGTGTGTGTGTGTGTGTGTGTGTGTGGGTGTGTTGTGTGAATCGGTTGTGTTGACTGTGTACATGGAGTGAAGACCAGTGTGTGTCCCCGGCCGGCATGGGAGGACTGGCCGGCTCTGGACTTGTTATGGACTGGTTTAACCAAAGCAGAGGTAAGTGCCTGTCGGACTGGAGCCTCTTCTCTTCTCCTCTGAGTAACAGCTGTAAAATCCACATTCATATTTTAAATGTTTCTAAATGTCCCAGAGCAGCTCCTGAATTATATCATATCTCTCAACTATATATATATCTATATATATATAGATATATATATATAAAACACTGTTTTAATCTCTCAACAACAAACCTTAACAAACATTGGTGTTGATTTATCTGTTAATCAATGAGAAATATCCACTCGTGTGTTGTGACTGTTATTATTGTGATAGTTACTTTTATTTTCTATTTCAAAATCACTAATTCTGCTGCTTTGTATTTCAGTTTGCTGTTAGAATGAACAGGAATACTGTTGAGTGTATCTCGTGTTGATAGCAGTGTTATAGTTATGTCTGTTTACGACCAAACTGAGATGAGTTTGATGCTCACAGTATGCGTGACTGTCTTAGTCAGAGGTGGACTTTGAGCTGCCATGTATTATTGTGGTTTTGACACTGTGTGTGCGCGTGTGTGTGTGTGTGTGTGGGGGGGGGAGTGGTTGTGAATGACGGACTCACACACACACACACACACACAGAATGCACAGTCAGCAGGCCAGTAGCTGCTCTGTCACCTGAGGTCTAACCAGACAACTGGTAACTCAGTTTGCTCTGACTCAACAACAACTGTTGTAAACACTCATCCAGAGAGAATCTACTGTACACACAGTCCACACAAACAAACCAGCAGGAATTTCACACTCAAGTCAGTTGATGAGTTTCATAATACACCAACAAGTTCACCGTTTCGAATTCTCCAGTTCCAGTGTGTCACGCGTTGTTCTTTTTTTCCTTTTCATATTAACGTCTCCAGAAGTTCAACTTTCATTTTCCCATAAAAGAGAGTAGCTAAAAAATTCCATTACGAACAGATATCTACACTAAAAACACAGTTTCTATTCTCAGGAAGAGAAACACACACGTTTATTTAAAAAAAATTTTGCACAATGTGCACATATAGTATTGTTCTATGTCATCGCCCAGCTGTGACTGTATGTTAATTTTCACGCCCACACTAGCCACCACTGCAGATAAGTCATTCAGTGAGCTGAAGGTGGAGTTTGACCTCTCTGCCACCAAAATGATGACAAACTCCTGCTGTATCTCAGTGTTCGAGCTTTCGCTTCATGTAACGTCTGTTTTCTTCAAGCTGTGGATCGTGATCTTGCAGCAGTTCAGTCATTAAATCATATATATAACATCGGAATTCTTAATATCCAACTTTTCAGGGTAATAACCCACTGAAACCCAAAACCCACAGGACAAACCTTTCCGCTAAAAATACACCATTTCTTCTACTCAGACGCTGTAAAAACTAGAATATTCGTGGCGTTCTCAAATGTACGATGGTTTTTGAATTCATAATGTTCAAATATAACAAAATGTGAAATTACAATTGTTATTTGACATCAAAATCCCGTTACTTGTGCTATATTTAAAGGTAATATTCTTTTACAGTCTTTTCAAAATACAAATAAAAATTAGATTTATGGCTCTATATGTGTGTCTCATGCTGCACAAATGACATCTCGAGTGACTGCCTCTTGCCATGGATGTGCTTGGGGTTCAGAGCGTTAAATAGGATTTTTCGTAGAGGACAACTTTGCATAGGTCTTGTTTAGCATTAGCGTGACTTTTGGTTTTTATTCAACATTTACCCGCAAATTAACTTAACGTGCTTATTTCAGCAGCCGAATGAGAGGACGTAGAAATCACGCTCGAGAGTTTGTCCACTGTTGAAAGTAAGGAAACGAGAGAGGGCGAGTGTCACTGACAAAAGACAAAGACTCTCTCTCTGTCTCTCTCTCTCTCTCTGTCTCTCTCTCTGTCTCTCTCTGTCTCTCTCTCTGTCTCTCTCTCTGTCTGTCTGTCTCTCTCTCTCTCTCTCTCTCTCTGTCTCTCTCTCTGTCTCTCTCTCTGTGTCTGTACAAGCCTCCCTCTGACGTCCTGACTGTGTTTTTCCATGCGTGCTCAAGGGTCCAGAGGTTTAACCACTGGACAGATTTGGGGCACTACACTATAGAGTGTGTGTGTATGTGTGGTTCAGTAGTTTTTGTACTACGTTGTCGGAATACGAGGTAATTGTGTGTGAGCTGTCGAGCTCCTGGCACCGATTCCATCATTTACACAGTTCTCATACTGATGAGTTTTTTATTTGTTCACAGTTTTTGCCTCAAGACAACATAGACACATTTTGGCTGAGTGAGAATCATCACCAGGCGTCCATGTTTAAATTGGTGCACACGGTAAAAAGCATTCAGAGGAGGAGGATTGGTGTGTGTGCGTGTGTGTCTTTGTGTGTCTTTGTGTGTGCACATGCGCACATGTATGCATACTCACAATTGAATTAGCATCTGGGCAGGCATGTACAGTGTTATTGATTCCGGTCTATAATCGATCAGGCTCTCACATTACACAAAGCTGCACATGCAGAGTGATGAGCAGCTGTGGGATGAGCAGCCTGAAAACAAACCATCTGTAACCAGTTTATTTAAAGGGATAAAAACCGTGTCTCCTCCGATTCTTTGATGTTGTGACTGATCCGACGTTTTCTGCTGCTGGTGACACAGTCTGAGTTTTTGCTTCTGTCTCTCTTCTCCTCCCTTTTAATTTCCCAAAGGAGTTATATGGACGACTGTTTGTGGCTGTTTCAGTTATTGCACTGCAGAGAACAAGTCTCTAATTAGAATGGTCCTGATCTTAATTTGTGTCACTAGCAGTGGCTCTAGCTCAAGTTTACGATGTTGATGAGGAGATTAAAAAGAAAAACAGGGGACAAAAAGTTCACATTTCTAAAAGGAATCGCGCTCAGGTGAGACGAAATAAAATGTTTGACCTGTGCTGTTACGCAAACACCAATTAGTCTGTGTTTGTTGAGACAGGGGAGCGTGGCATTGGGTGAGCTGGGTCAGTCGAAGTGTGCATCTTGAATTTAGAGGGGGACTCTCTTCTCGACACACAGAAAGGTGTTTGCTTTCCATTCCAGCACACCGGTGTAAGGAGTCTTTGGAAACTTTGACAACAGTTCAATAAGATGGGACCTGGCTGCCAGGTGGCAGGAGAGGGAAGCGGGTCAGTCGTCAGAGTGGCCAAGTAAATTCGATTGTTTTGAAAAGTTTTGGGGGAAAAAAACTGTCGATTTCTTTTATTTAGAAAGATATGTTTGTATTGCTCTCTAAATCTAAAGTGTAATGTTTTCATATCAGAGTCAAACAAAGCTGCTTGGAACACGGTGTTTTAAAAATGAATATGGAGGTTTGAGTCCTGCAGTGGCCACAGGTCAGAGGTGACTCGGCCCTTTGCTGCGTACCCTCCCCCATTCTCCCCCATTTCACTCTGGCATTGTCTGGTCAACTTAGAGGGAATGCAAAGAACAAGGTGTCTATCTGTGCAGTACCACAAAGATGGAGGATTGCTTCTCGTTGGCGGAGATGCACGAGGGGGTAAAATTTAACCTCCTGAACAAACCTGAAGTTGTTTCCTGTCATTTTGTGTCAGTTAAGTTGAAAATCTGACAGGAAGGCGAACACGGTTCTGCAGTTAAAGTTACGTTTTGACGTATTTGTCCTGAGCCAAGTTGTAGTTACCTCGATGTTGTCTAAATCCAGCTAGATCAACAAAATGCTTGTTGTCCCTGGCAACAGGCGGTAAGCCACCGACCATAAAGCCACCAGCTCAGAGGAGCATCACCGTGGCACAGCAGAGATGTGCACAAAGAGATTGGGCGTATTGACGTGGACACACACACACACACACAAACAGACACACACTGTCATATGTTGCAGGCCCTTCAGTGTTGGAGAAGCCAGTGTTCTTAATCCAGGTATTAAATCTACTTTATGTGTGTGTGATGGGTGAGGGTTTGTGGGCTCAGACTGTGGCCTTGAACAGAATCAGGAGCCAAAGGGAGGAGGGTCCCACCTCTCACTGTATTCCCAGTGTTCCTCAAAAAGAAAAACAACCAAAGCCAGATAACACCTGCTCAGCTTAGATTAGGAAAGAGAGTTGGAAAGATGTTCATGAATGGAGCGTCAATGTAAATGATATGTTTAATTTATTAAAGTTTTCTCCTGAAGATGGAGTGGAAACAATAAATGAGACTTAATTAATCTATTCTTTCCATAATTCCATAAATAAGAACCGCCCAGTAAATGTGTTTTTTTTTTAATATAACAACAGAGATTTTTCTGCTAACCCTGCAAAACACATAAGCTTTAATTGTCATTTTATAACTGTGTGTGTGTGTGTGTGTGTGACTCCATTTGCAATCCTCCTACTCTCTGTGTGCCGTTTTATTTTTCATAATTACTGCTGAATAGGTTGCGCTGCTTTGTTTATCTCCTTCCAATCTGACCTCCAGCTGGCTGTAATGTGAAACCTACCTGCTCCCTGTCACATGTAACATACCAGGAAGTGGACACTGCGGGGATATTCCTTGAAAGCTGAACAGAGCAGAATGATGGTTTATAGTTAAATAAAAACACACCTGAACCCAGATACTAAACACAGGCAACAGGGTTAAATTAAAACCTGTCTACTGAGGTTGTGCTACTCTAAAGAACACAGCTATTAAAGAAAAAAGAAAAAACAATTTACATGATGCTATTCTTTATCATGATTGAGTGTTTCTCAAAATCAACACTGATGTTTACGAGACATCTTGAATAACAGTTCCATCATGAAAAAGCTCTGCGCGGCACCTCTAGCTAGTAAAAGAGAATTAAAAACGCTGCACCTGTCAAAGCCTCACCCTGTCGCCGCCGGTTTTTCAGAAACCCAAAACAAAGAAACCGAGCAGCGATGGTTTCCATTGACGACAGAGTCCACTTAAGCAGGCTGTGGTCAGCCCTCAGCTTTAATTCCTTAATGGCTGGTTTGACCCTGTGGCCTCGTCTCTTCTCCCCAGCTCAAATTGTTTTTACATGGCTTCACTTCGTGAAGCTCTTGGCTCCTCTGATTGCATTAGTATTGGGCTGAACGGGCTAAAGGCTTTTGTCGCAGGCTACATTAGTGTTAATTCAGTGTGTGTGTGTGTGTGTGTGTGTGTGTGTGTGTGTGTGTGTGTGCGGAAGGCCATATGTGTGTCTTCATTTGTGTTTGTGAATGTGGGCCCATGTGTAACTACCTCCGACATTGATTAAAGTATATAAACCATAATAATCTGCTGTTCACCAAAAGCTATGACAACACCTTCATTTTCAACGTGTCTCTTGTTGTTTTTAGTGATTTTAAACTTTTACTGAGTTTGGTTTTGGGGAGATTTACTTTTACTTTGTGTAATGATTAATCATTAAAAAAATGATTAGTTTGAATGTGCTGTTTAAAAGTATATGCAACGTTGATCAGCCTATCCTAATTCTACTACATGATAAGTAGATGGAGACGTAGACATTTTCACTCAAAGGTAAAATACCTGAAGCCCGAATATCCCGGATAATAGATTAGAACTTCCTAAACGGTTGACGACCAATGCAGCCAGCTACCGGGGGGTGACTGGGATGAGGCTTCATCTTTAGGAAGCTGTCATGTCGTCCATTTTGATTCACACTCTGTTTATCCGTGTGAAGCTTTTGTGACCTGAAAACAGGATGGAAACACAATGACATCCAATAGTTGTCAAGATTTTACTCTGCTAAGTGCTTGGGATTAGGTTTGTACGCTATTATTGTATCTGCACAATACCTGGTGTCTCCACATTGACTTCTCTTCTCATGGTCGTACGTCCACGGCTTCTTTTCCCACACCTGAGCCTCGGTGTGACGTTTAACCTCTCAGTTGATGCGCTTGATGCCGCAGGAAATAATCCTGCTTCTGCTGCTGCGACCCCACTATCACTCCGCTCTGAACCAAGCTGGTGGACCAACTGACAGACATTAGCAACCCCAGAACCACGCTGCTAGCACGGCTAAAATTGGTTGTAAAGCAGGAAGTGTTGATAACTGAGTGACTGGTGATGATAACAGCTGATTAACAAGGTCTCTCCTTGCATCATGGGAACTCTCAGCTCAACCAGATCCGAAGACTCCACAACAATCACAACATTCGCACTTGTTCGTTTGACGTCAGTGTGAGAAAATTCCCCAATGAACTGAACCCATCGTTCTTCAGTTTGTTCCCGTGCTCTCTGCCCAGTTTCCCTTTTAAACATCTTTTCCTTCATCCCTTTTCTCTTTGTGCTTCTCATTTTCTCCTCTTTTCTCTCTCCCTCCCTGTTGTTTTCTCTCTCTCTCTCTTATCCTGGTTTCCTGCCTTCATCTGCTCAGTATCAGCCCCACAGTCTGTCTGTTATGTAATGGTCAGGTGACGTGTTGGCCCGTTGAAGGGCCTTAAAGGCCTGCCGCCCTGACAGACAGCTTCTAACTGCTACTCTGCCTCATCAGTGATAGAACGATTTGTCATGTCCCGACCACCACATGCTTTTAGTGAATCATTCACTTCACACTTCGGTCATTTCCTAATGTCTATTTGAGAAAATCCTCGTGTCAAAGTCACATCAGGAGTAAAAAGATTTCCGCTACGGAGACAAAACTTCAACCTAAAAACTCCCAGGTATTGATCTGACTGATTGATCATCGCACATCAACTGTGTTGACTTCATTAGCCCTCAGATATCTGCCGGTTTTGAAGAACGGATTTGATGCTGTGTTTTCGTTGAAGCAGATGCGATGCAAGTTGTAAATCTTTATTCCAAGAAGAAAAAAGAAATGCTCTTCACCTCAAAACCTTAAGAAAGAGAAATCCAACAACCTTTAGAAAAGTAGACAACATAAACTGAATCTAAAGATGAACGACATGACAGCTCCGTAAAAGTGAAAACAGATCAACTTGTACACCCCCTAGAGGTTGACTGCAGTATAGGTCATAAACCAGCTCCTTCATGTTAGCAGATGGGCCATGAACCAAACTAAAAAGTTCAAATAAACATCAAGTTGTCCCTGCCAATAGGTGTTAACCCGTATTATTCCACAGCAGCTTCAGGAAAGTAAAAGACTCCTGTTGAAGATGTCAGCTTTGACAGAATTCTTCTTGTAAGTTTGAATGCCTACATGAATTAGCTATTTCTTACTGAGGCAATTATTGACACCTACTTCATTCCCACTGGGCCTCCCACATGTTGCCAACAGGCACTTTATAATGGTACATTGTTTTCATGAGTCACGAACACGCTCCCTGTTTGATTATGCACCATTCAAACAGGTTGTGTACATCTCCAGCACATGGATGCTTGTCTCTATAACCCTGTGGTGAAGAATGTTATGAAGCTTGTGGAGCAGTCGAGAGGTTTTTGATTTCTAAAATGCTCCGTTGCACTTGAACCAGTGAATTTAGATTAAAAGCTTCCTCACACTGGCACAGACTGTACTGTTTTACATATTACAAATAGCCAGATTGAGCAACAGGTTAAAAAAAATATCTATTTGGATGTATTTGAAATCGAAAAGCTTTAAGTGAAATTTGCCAATGAAATGAGAGTTAATTTGGCAGCAGAGGTCTGTTTCAAAATATTTTTACATCCACCTTCGATAACTGTTCTGCATTTGCGTTCTGTTTGTTTGCAGGATTACGCAAAAACTTGAAATCATTTCTGTTTCAACATGACAAAATATCACAGTGTGTTTTATGTTTGCTAGTAGTCTAAATAAACTGCATGCATGGATCCTTACAGTTGTGTTTTTGTCTGTTTAGGTGCTGATATTTGCTGAAGATGAGTAGTGGGAGGCCGGACACCCCGGAGCCCCCCAGAGGGGGAGAGTCTCTGAAGAGGAAGGACTGTCAGTCAGACCTCCTGGGACCCAGGTGAGACCTTCATCCACTGTCTCAGTGCATCCTACACAGCAGTAAACCCACATAGTAATCTCAACAAAAGCCTCCATCTAAAACTCACTACAATTAGGTTCAATAATAATGTCCCAGTGCCTCATCTCACCACAAATAAAGGACCGACCACTCAGCTGATGTCCTCTGACCTGCTACACTTTCCTCATAAACCGGAAATATTTTACAGCGCTAAGTGTTTCACATACACAAAATGATTTGTGTCCACTTCCAAAATATTAGCGCTGACCACCGCACAGTGATTTTCTGTCTAGACACACTAACATACACACAAACACATCGACATCAGACACATCTGTGTCATCAGAGTGGCTGAAAAAAAATCACTTGGTCTTCACGAACAGAGATGACAAATGTTTATTTGCATATTAGCAGGAAGTGAGATCCAAAGTGGTCACAGGAAACGCATTCAGGACGAGCCAGGTGTGAATTGACGCACAGAGAGTAGAGATCACTCAGGGCAGATGTTCATAACAGGAACGGAACAGGGACAGAAATGACTACGTTTGTGTGTCAGTGTTTGAGACTAAGTTTTAAGTAGGGAGGGCTCACTGTTGGAGGTGTTGTAGTGATGATGCACTGACGTTATAATGAGGAGAATGTTTGCAGCTCAGGTTGTAGTGAGGAGAAGACAAACAAATCTGTGAACAAGCTCGTGCAATGAAGAAAGCACAGTGTTTGTGATGTCCACAGTTGCAGTCATTCATCCACCTCAAGTGTGAAACTGCAAATATTCAGCTCGTGCATGAAGAAAAAGTCTTAATTCAACCACTAAACAAAAGATTCATGCATGTGGTGGTGAACTTTTTAGATGTCATCTTCTTTTTTTCCGTCTGTGAACATTTTATTGGTTATGTTGACGGCATCTTTGCTTCCCTTCCTGTGCTGCAGCCCGAAGAGGAGCACGGAGAGGAGGAACCGGGAGCAGGAGAACAAATACATCGAGGAGCTGGCAGAGCTGATCTTCGCCAACATCAACGACATGGACGACCTGAACGTCAAGCCGGACAAATGCGCCATCCTCAAAGAGACGGTGAAGCAGATCAGGCAGATCAAGGAGCAGGGTGAGGATCTAGTTTGGTTTATGCTTAAAATAATGTGATGAGAACCACTAAAATGGCAGAAACCATCTTTGAGGAAACTGAACTGGACGTATACATAATGCAGTTCATATGGCACCTTCCAGATATCATATATCATCTGTTTTAGCTGAGCCGACATGAGTTTAGCTTCTACAGAAAGAAACCTCCACTATTTTCCTGTTTCAACTGTTCCTGGTCTTTTCTTTTCCTTTCCTGTTGTTTCCTCCCTCACTTGTCTTTCCCCTCTCTCACTTTCTCTTGTCTCACCTTTCCTTTCCTCCTTTTCTCTCCCTCCCTCATCTCCCTCCCGTTTTGTCCTCTGCCAGTCGGTGTCCACTTGTTGTTGCTCTGTTTGAAAAACAACAGCTGAATAAGCACACGCACACACACACGCACACACACACACACACACACACATGCACAATGTTTCATCCCGTTTCTATCGCATTAAATTAAATTAAAACCAAACTTATTAGAAATATAAAAACTTAACTACCTAAAATCACACAAACCATTTTTAAGAAAACAATCGTTCCACTTTTTAGTTCATGTCCCATCTATTAACATGGAGGTGGGGGGGGGGGGGGGGGGGGGGGGGGGGGGGGTAATGACCTGTACTGTATAGCCAGCCACCAGGAGATGATCGAGTCACTTTGACTTCTGCGTAGCCGCGATGTCGTCATCTTTTATGGAGAGTTGGAAACTCAGAGCTTGGGGAGCTGATGAGTTGTGTGTTGTTCAGTTATGCAGATTGAATCTTGTGCAAAGTTTGATTTTGTGTTTACGGGGATTTTCATCTCTGTGCTGACCTGTTAAGTGAACGCCCCGCGGTTCACAGAAAATAAATGCACATGAATCACCGTTCAAACAATAACCATATTTATTTATTTATTTTTGAAAAGCTCGTACTGTGACTTTAATGCTCCTCCACCTACATGACAGCCGCAGCGGGCTCTGCAGTGACAGGGTTTAAGGGCTGATGACTCTGTACAGCTCTGGTCCCACAACAGGAATGTGAGCTATGTGGCCTAATGGGGCCATGGGAGGCTTAACAGTCCAGTGGTACAAGCAGGGAGGAGAGAGGAGACTGGCCTCTAATATGACTCTAAATGTGTGTAATGTACCGTGACTTCACTTGGCGATACCTGCTCTCTGTGACATCCCGGGCACTCAAACCTGCAGGTTTACCAACACATCGCCACACTGCTGGAAGAGGGTGGTGCAGAGCTGACATTATAATGAGGTTAAAATGAGGTCAAGTGCTGTGTAATTAATGTAAAGGCCTCATGTGTAAATGACTCAAAGTGTGTGTGCGTCTATGTTGCTGTGGTTTAGCTTGAAGGCGACAATAAAATGTGGAAGAATGAATGATTTTCTAAGAATCTGAGCATCAACACAAGTTTTATTTTTCCAGGAAAACAAACAAACTGAACTTCTGACCTCCCATCACAACATCTATACATTCAACAAATTCCCCAGAATACTTTGTCACGGTTTTCGTTTTTTGTTTTTCACTTCACTTATTTCAGAAAGGAAAAGGAAAAATAAAGGCTCTTCACTACTTCTGCTTTTCCCTTTGTCTTTCACAGACAAAGCTCCAGTGGTGGATGCTGAGGAGGTGCAGAAGGCCGACGTCTCCTCCACAGGACAGGGCGTCATTGATAAGGACGCCCTCGGGCCCATGATGCTCGAGGTGGGTCAGACCAACCTCTGGTGAAGCTCGGAAAAGTTGAAAGGTTACGGCGATAGTGACACAAGGCAGAACACCGGAGGAGGTGCAACGGTGACACAGAGAACGATGATTCTTTTCTCTTGAGGCCACTGACCTTTACTTGACCCTTGGAGTAGTTCACAATCACATTTTCACCAGTGACACAACAAGCTGCACGTGTCCAAACCAAGCCGTGCTCGCTCATCGCCGCAGCGCTGTAGACGCTGATGAGCCAGTGGTTCGTCGAAACACGAATGGAGCGCCAGTCTGACTTTAAATGGTGCCGCACTTTACAGTCACGGAGAGATAAGAGCTCCCCCGGTGGCAGTGGCGTCATCGAGCAACATCACGTGTGTTGTGACGTATAACATGAGACCCAGTGAAGGAAATACCTGACTGAAAAGCTAGATTAGAATAAGAGAGGAGGAGCCTCACACACACACACACACACACAGGATATGAATAGCGTTCATCAGCCGTAATATTGACGAAAGGTTCTATTCTATTCTACTCCAGCATATGTTTACAGTAGTAGTTGTGCAGCTCGTGTAGACATGTGTGTAAAGGTAAAGGACAAATCCCAGTCTGTGCATATAGGTGGACAATTCACACATAAACATAATAAACACACAAATTTTATTCAAAAAAAACTTTTTTCCTTTTTCCATTTCCACCCCTCTGTTTTAATAATCTCCTCTCTCTTCTCTGGCTCCTCTTTTCTCCCCTCCCCCCATTCCATCCCCTCATCGCCCCTGCCTACCCACCTTCTCCTCACCCCTCAGGCCCTGGACGGCTTCTTCTTTGTGGTCAACGTGGAGGGCAACATAGTGTTTGTCTCGGAGAACGTCAGTCAGTATCTGCACTACCAGCAGGAGGAGCTGATGAACACCAACGTCTACAGCGTGCTGCACGTTGGGGATCACGCAGAGTTCATAAAGAACCTGCTGCCAAAGAGCATGGGTAAGAGCTACAGACAGTGAACTGGGTAAACAGGAATTCCTCCTCGGGCCAGATCTTCTCATTTGGGCACGGCCTCAGTAGATTACTCGGTACCTTCGCTTCGTAAAAAGACTCCTCTGAAGGACACAGCCCCAGAATTAGGACAGAGCTGGTATTAACATGTGGTTTTTGTGATCCTATTTCAAGTGGACAGATCTTAGCACAGGTATGAACTCACTCAGGTCGGCTATTGATCCGATCACACGAGAACACGCATGTCCACATTCCTTTAGCCGTGTGAACACAAATATGTCCTGGGCCCCATGAAGAACCACCCACTCAGCCGACGTCCTCTCACCTGCTGCAGTTTCACCATTAATAGAACTCATTATTTCTCTTCTCGATGATTGGTTAGTGACCACCACCACGACACCGCTGGCTTGTGATTGTCGACACAATGGGTAAAAACGACATATCTTGGTCTTCGTAAACAGATATGACGTCCGTGTTTGTTTGTATAGAGCGCGGAGGTGAGATCTGATCTGAGATCCCATCACGATCAAGCATGTGGGGCCACTTTTTTATGCTAGATCTCAAAAACCACATGTTAATACCAAGTGTGTACGAGGCCTAAATGAGCTTTGCCATCTTGACAGAATGAATAACACATGATTTCCTAGATGATCAAGATCAAACTGATTCAAATTACTCCTCTGATCTTAGTTAACTCTAGTTGCATGTTTAGCAGCAGGTAGTGGTTTAAACGTTTCGGCCTCTGGATCGCTGTGTTTCTCTCTATGTTCCAGTCAATCACCGGAGCGGGGATTCCTCCAACAGGAACAGCCACACCTTCACCTGTCGTATGTTGGTCAACCCTCATGTTGACGGAGAAGATCAGCCGACCTCTGACCAGCAGGACACGGCGCAGCAGAAGTACGAGACCATGCAGTGTTTCGCTGTGTCCGAACCCAAGTCTATCAAGGAAGAGGGGGAAGGTACTGACTTTAACTAACGTTGTCGTTTTCCACTTAGCGTCTCTTATTCGGTTCTATGTTTTTTATTGCATTTATTTAGTTTATTTTTCTCTTCCTCTTTTTACCATGTCTCTCCGCATGTTTCTCTGACCTCTTAGTTTTGCCCTTCATCATAAAATCTCTTCTTCTCTCCCCATTTCATTCTCTGTCACTCTCCCATCAGTCTATCCATCCCCCAACCTTCTTGTCTCTTGTGTCCTGTCCTCCTTTCATCACCACTCCTCTCGACTTTTCCTCACATCCATTGGGAGAGACTAATTAGTGTGTGGCACTTTGTCATTTCCCCATCTTGTCTTATCAAACACACATACACATTCTGGTGCTCTCATTTTCGATGTCTGACGGCCAGATATTGTGCCAGTCTGTCCCCTGACAGCAGGAGGACGTCTGGTGGACAGACTGAGGGCTTCGGGTTGCGGGTGGTGTGTTGAAGCTGCTGTAGTGTTGAGGTTGTGTTAAAGGAGACCTGCTGCTCATTTTCAGTTTTATAATTTTAATTTGGTTTAAAAAGGTTTACGTGCTCCAATGTTCAGAAAACACGTCTGTTCACTGATCTTTGCTGCAGCTCCTCTTTTTTTACTACTTTATGTTTTACTTTTTTTGTACAAAAGCCACAAATGACAACATGTTAAAAAATTGGATTTTCACTTTTAGTTCTAGCTCTGAGGTCACAGATAGTGATGGCGTTTGTTAGACATATTTCTAATATTCTACAGGGTAAAATAAAGCAAACTGGTTTCCTTGTGTTTTAATGAGGGAAGAGCTGAAGCTTAAACAGGTGTGGAGAACAAGAGACAACCCAGGAGAGGCAAAGTGAACGAGAAAAACTCTGGTCACAGTCGAAATCACATTGTGTCTTTACGTAACTGCTCCCCAGACACATTCCTACACACATCATATGTTTGCAAGACTTCATCGCTGGTAGTCTCAGGATGTGATAAGACATCAACTCGCATTTTTCCCCAAATGTGCAGATTTCCAGTCCTGTCTCATCTGCGTGGCGAGAAGAGTCCCCGTCAAAGAGAGACCTGTGATGAAGTTCACCACACGGCAGGACCTTCAAGGTTTGTATCTTACCGCGACGTCTGTTCATGATCAACAGAACTGTCATGCTTCATACATACAGACATGCTGTAAAGGCTGGAAGTCCAGGCCAGTGGTTGAGGGGCAGTTACTTTATCTAGTGGTTCCCCCTGCTGCTGCACCTCGTCTGCTAACACCCGTAACCGTCCTGTCCAGGTAAGATCACATCGCTGGACACGAGTCTGCTGCGGGCATCCATGAAGCCGGGCTGGGAGGACCTGGTGCGACGCTGCATTCAGAGGTTCCACCTGCAGAACGAAGGCGACATGTCCTTCGCCAAAAAACACCAGCAAGACGGTGATTATTGACCGAACGCATCGGAGCATTTACATCCAAAACGTGTTGAATGTAGCTCTGTCAAACTCCAGGCATGTTCATCGTGGGGTTGTTGAGGATTCAGTCGAATCCTGTTTTTAATATCAACTCTCTGCCAATCAACTTCATCAGTAAATAAGTCAATTATTTAAGTCGGTTTTTTACGGCAGTGTATCGAAAGAAATCTCAGTCTTCTGTCTTGCTGAGAGGTCGGTTTGTTTCTGTGCTTTCCAGTGTTGAAGAACGGCCATGCACTCAGCCCCATGTATAGATTCTCCCTGGCAGACGGAACCATCGTCTCAGCTCAGACCAGGAGCAAGCTGGTCCGATCTCCCGCCACCAGTGAGCCGCAGCTCTACATGTCGTTGCACAGCCTGCAGAGGTACGAGCCACTCTGACTTTCACTCTCGGGACATTTCACACCTGAGAGTCTGAACCAAGCTTCTTCTAGTTTCGTGTGATCTGGTTGGTTTTGGTTTCACATTGTAATTTAGGGACTGGGGCTTGTCATTTTGGGTTGCGTCTGCAGATACTTGACTCTGATTGGTTTGTAGACGGAGTCTGACGTGGGCGTGTTGACAGTTGCGGGGGGGTAGTAGTCTGTCTGTTTGAATGGAGAAAATGAAAGCACCGAATGAACGTCCTCGTGGTTCAAACATTATATTGCCGCAGCTGCTTCCTCTTCTTTTTCTTCTTCTATGTTTAATGCTGTCTCTACTTCCTGTGATTGGTCCAAAAGTCCAAACTCCCCAACAATTGTTTTCTTTCTGGAAACGAACAGAACTTGTGTCTCAAAATAAACTGGGAAGTGCAAAGGTCCAGACCAAAGTTGGTGTGAAATGGCCCCTAAGAGCTGATCAGTAAATTAGTGCAATGATGAATGAAAGGATAGCGAAGATTAATAAGTTTTGATAGATTTGATGTTCTTCCTAAACCTGCAGTGATTCTTTCCAGAGAGCTTCACACTTCTCCACCAGTCAGTGGAGACAAGTTAGATGATTTCATGGTAATGAATCACGAGTTTTGCCCTGTGGCAGCCACTCAAGAACAAAGTTTATCTTCAAAATCAAATTTCTTCTTAAAATGGCACCCCTCTTAGAATTCAAACTGACTTTCCACTCATCTTAGAAAAACATCACATAATGACTTCAATTACATAAGAGCAGATTTGATTTTTCGGCCGTCGCTGTCTTCTTTCTCTTGTCGACCTGTGTCGATCACATGTTCCCTCTCAGGCTCTTTTTTTTGCTCTCTCTCTCTCTCTTCAGCTCTACCTCTTCTGGAGTTTCTCTCCATCTTTAATGAAGAGTCTGGTCGTTCAGTTCAGAATTTATGTTCAGTAT